CTGGATCTGAACACCGTGCTGCAGAAGGCAGAGGAGCACTTCTTCAACTACTTCAAGAGGGCCTCCTGGCAGGGGCTCGGCAGGAGGTTCCTGAGCCGCAAGAGCAAGGAGCCCCTCCTGCTGCAGTTCCGGAGCCTCTTCTCCTGATCGGAACGTCCAGGGATCAGGAGGAGAGGATGTAAAAGCTGCTGGGGTGGTGTGGGGATCCAGCCGAACCCTTGCCATGGAATAGGGAATCACAGTGTTTTCCAGCCCGGATCTCTCCGGGGCGGCGAACAGCAGAGCCGCTGAGCCCAGGACGGACCTCCGGAAGCACGTCTTCTGTCCCGCTGCTCCCAGCCGGAGACTTGGAGTCCAGGGACTCCCCTTCCTGACCCTTCATGCTGTCCAGCTCGGCTGGCGTCCTGGAGTCTCTTCACATCACCAGCAGGTCAAGGCCTGTGGAGACAGTCGGCTCTGCACTGCTGCTCCTGCGACTGTGTGTGTGTGTGGGGGGGGGCAAATGTTACATAGTGTTTAATGCAAGGTGCAAGGTATTTTGGGGAAGGGGTGCCCCAAAATTTTAAATTGACACAAACCCAAGTATTTTATCTCATCTTTTATCTGTCTCTCTTTCTGTCTCTGTGTGTGTCTGTCTGTCTCTATTTCTCGATCTGTCTGTCTCTATTTCTCGATCTGTCTGTCTGTACCTAGCTGTCTGTCTGGCAGTCTGTCCATTTATCCTGCTGGAGTTGTGATTCGTCATGTTTTGAAGTGTTACACTGAGTAAAGACAGCAGCTGTCTGGGTGCTCAGTGTCTCTACTGTGTAAACCTGCAGCCAGGAGGCTCTGTACTGCGTCTGTGTTTCTGCCTGACTGCGAGTTCCCCTGGGTAGTTCCCAGGCAGCCCCCTGAATAAACAGAGGTGACTTCCTGAGGCGTGTGTGGGGCTCTGGGGTTCTGGGGCTCTCTCTCGGTGCCGCTCGCGGGGCGTGTGTCTGTGTGGGAGGGGGGGACCAGCTCACCCGAGAAGACTTCCTGCTCACACCTCCAGCCCAGGACAGGCAGGACAGCTTCTCCTCCGTCCCGAGACAGAGCCACACCTGCCCCGGGGACACAGTGCAGTCCTGCGACACGGCCATCGTCCACCATGATTCCAGGCCAGGGGGAGTCCTCATTTCCCAAGACTTACATCCTGGTTTTACTGCACTGTACTGTGCCTTTACCCTGATCTCACTGGGCTCTACTGTGCTGTACTGTGCCTTTACCCTGATCTCACTGGGCTCTACTCTGCTGTACTGTGCTTTTACCCTGATCTCACTGTGCTCTACTGCGCTGTACTCTGCTTTTACCCTGATCTCACTGGGCTGTACTGTGCTGTACTGTG